AATTTGAACGACTGTTATTGAAATTCAAATAGTCATTCTTGTAATTTGAACGACGGTTACTTGTTTGAAAGAATTTTTTGTATCCTAATTTTTAAGTTTAAATTTTGATAATATTAATTGGCGTTTAAAATATATTTCAAGGAACGGGATTTTGAACAACCCCATTTCTAGGTGTCACGGGCTTATTGAAATTAAAACGGATGTTCTTTTAATTTGAACGGTTGTTACTGAAATTAAAACAAACATTCTTGTAATTTGAACGGTTATTACTTTCTTGAAAGAATTTTTTGTTTCACCACTATAGAATTACAGAATGGAGAATGATCAAGGGAACAACCCTGTTTCTTACTAGAACAGCTTGGAAAGATACATGACCGTTACTGTATCCAGATGGCCGTATATATTAAGTGGAACGACTGGTAATATATAAAGTGCAACCATGCAATTGAATAAGTACGGCCATTCATGGTATATGAACGGGCCATTACTTCTGTTATGAATCAGAAATAACCTTTTTGAACAACCCATTCCTTTGCATCACGGCATGGATTCTGTTTGGAACGAGCAATTGAACGACCTCGTTTTTTAAGGAACATCTTAGAAAGTTAGTATAACAATAAGAACGATATCGTTACTCAAGGGAACGACAAAATTTTGATACATTTATATTCCTTGCTAAATTTCAACAAATTAAATATACAAATTACTATAAACTCTTACTTCCAAATCAAGTCAAACCATAACAATGCCACTAAACAAAATATTTACTTTGTAATTCTCTATATAGAGAACATGAAACAATATATATGTCACATTCATTGACCGCAGAAAATGGAAACAAAAAAAAAAAAAAAATGTACATTACCAAGGCCAAAATTCAATTTGTACTTTATATCTCCTAACCATCCACTTCTAAACCACTACAACACTTTCATCTCAGATGAACTCAGTCGTAAATATAATCTCAAAAGTGCTCTATCTGTCATGGCTTGTAACTAATTGAAAATTTTGTGTAACCCTGAAAATGGAATGATATATTTTGTAAAGATTAATTCATAACACCATAATAACCTTCAATCAGACCAATCATAAATTGTTAATTGAATAACATTACAACATTGAAAATGCTCAAAATTGAAACACAACTAACATCAACCGAACAAAAAATAAAACATGAGGACTCAGGACACAAACCTGACTTAGTACATGACCCCTGGCTTCACCACCTTGGACGTTAATACCAAATGCACTAGCTTTGGTGGTTGTTCTTAATTCTTGAGAACTTCCACCCTTCAATTGATTTAAATTTGTAATTTATTAAATACAATACTATTGTCTAAATGACATGTTTAAAATAAAAAAAAAACATTTAATTGGTGTTTGGATGTTACAAAAGTTGCTACTTAAACTCACTTGGTTGAGTGGTTACTTCTCTTTAATTTTACAAACTATTTGCTCAAGTTTTGATTGCTTTCTTTCAATGGAGGCCACCGACCTTTGCTGTGCATAGACCGTGGAGTCTGAATTTTATTACTTCCCTCTTTGGAAGTACATTGAGGGCTTTGACAATTTGTAATATTGTCAGTGGACATGTTTACGTGGATATTAATCACTCTGGCATTAACAATCCACTCCAACTTCGTCTTCAACTCATTGATCATTTGCATAGCCATATTACTTGTATTCTTGTTAGTTGATGCCAAATCTACTACCATTAAGAATGAGTTGGACAACTATTCAAAACATTTTCCTTCATCACTTGTACTCCAACTAATATAATTTACACGTACCTTGGTGTGACATCTGTATATGTTTTTCCTCCACCGTCTTCAAATTTATTTTTTCGGAACATGATAAATTTCATTATAAAGCAACACCGCAATTGCATGTCGACATACAATCCCTCTAAACTCAAACAATCGACAGTTGCAATACACATCACAACTACCTCCATAAAAACAAACCACAAATGGTACTCGACTACACTTTTGCCCAACCACAATATCTTCCTTCACTATAAACTCTTTATACGAGTCAATCTCCTTGCAAGATTTTATTTCAGAATACAGTTTAGAAGTTAGCTCATGTTGAAACTCTTTAAATTTAGCAGTAGTGTATGCATCTTGAAATTGCTTCTCCATAGGATAAGAGCTTATGCAAGGGATCCATGACTTCAAAGATCTAAAGTCAGACTCCTTATCTTTTTTGACTTTATCATGCAATGCATTTTCATATTGTTCAACAGACTGTTTTAAAGTAGTTTTCGAATTGACATAACCATCAAAGAATGCATGAATACTTTCACCAAGTTGAGTAGTAGACATTCATGCCCAAAAAGTATCTTTAACAAATGCTAACATGCTACGTTGTCTTTCAGTATACAATCCACTTAACCATTCATTGTCCTGGACGTTATGTTTATCAATGAAGCTACTCCACCGCTCTTCAAACTCATCCCGTATTAATGAATCATAAACGACATTTTGCAAACTCAACTTAATATTTTCATATTCCCTGTAGCCTCTTAACTTATCTGGTAATTTCTTCATTATATGCCACAAGTCGTGTGTCAGGGAACACAATCTTGATTGCATTTTTCATTACCTTATCTTGATAGGTGATTATTGCCTTAGGAGCACAATTCCACATACATGTAAGCCAATGTTGAAAAAGCTATACAACTGTCTTAGTATCCTCATGATATATTAACCTACAACCTAACAATGTTGAATGCCCATGATGATCAACACCAACAAAAGTGACAAATGACATATCAAACTTATTGGTTAAATATGTAGTGTCGAATGTCACAACATCACCGAATTCTTTAAATGCAACCCTACCTTTTGTATCCACCCATATAACATTCTTTAAGCAACCCTCATCATTTAAATCCATTAGGTAGAAAAAAATTTGAATTCTTCTTTTGCATTTTTCAGAAAATAATTCTAAAAGCATCTTTATCACCAAGTCATAGTCTTCCAACTTTATCAATGTAGTTCCTACAATCTTTTTGTAGGAAAGACAAATTTTTAGCACCCCCAACTTCAACAGCCAAAGCATGAAAATTTTGTTCGGTCTAATCCCAGCCCTATCATTGACTTCAAGCTCCTTTTAACATAAGGTTGTATTGTTCGATTGTTCTTGAAATATCTACTTTGCTAAGACTATTCAGTTCATGATTGTGTTCAAAGAAAATTGAACATATTTGCCATTTTCAATCATTTAGTAAAGATGCACTAGTGCGAGCCTTACAATACGTTTTTGTCATTGGGTGCAACTTAAATGCATTTCTTGAGACATTGGTGTACTTCCCACTACAAGAACAAGCCAATGTTACGTATTTCAACTCCCCATTAACTCCCCTCTTGGAAGTTCTGATCATCGTTTCAAAACCTATTTTATTCTCATAGTTTTTATAATACTAGACAACCTCATCAAATGAATCAAACATCATTCTAGGCTTAGGCTCCCATTCCTCTTCCACACTTCTCATATCTTCTATTTCTTCATGATGATTACCTTGTTTTATTGACAATAAGATAGCTGGAATTAGAATATAATAACACTTGAAAGAGTTACAAACAATACCATTGAAATATTAAACGTCATATTAAAGAATAAAAACAAAATACCAAAACCAACATTACCTCAACAACATTATAGTTCTCTGTTTTTTCTTTACTGCACTCTTCCATCTTCTGTTTAAATATTACCTGAAAGTGAAAAGAGCATTAGCTTAAAAGATGACTAAAAGCTAAATTACATTCATTGCTATATTACTTCCACTGATTATAAATAAAGAATAATACATTTTCAATAAACATGTACAGGGTGAAACTCACCAGAATGTTGCTTAGCTTCCTGCTAAGTACAGAGGAATGGCAGTTGAGTTGTTAAATTTCTCTGCTAGTCTTTCAGGTTGGGTGATGCTTTCTGGTTGGAAGATGTTGTCTATGGTGATTTCAAATTGAAACTAAAATGGAGAAAAGATTTTAGGGCTCAAATGAATTACAGGAATGAGATATTTTGCATTTTAGAATGAATTACGGGAAAGAGAGATTTTGCATTTTGAGTTTTCAGTTTATGGGGAAATAAATTATTTGATACAAGGGTAATTTAGGGTGAAAAGTCAAATTCTAGATATAATTTTTTTTTTTTTAAGTTTCTCGCCAGCTGACATTGCTTAGGGGTGTGGTGAGAGTTGATGTGTCAATTGCCAACTATGCTACTATGTAAGAGTTTGTGAGATAAAGTTTTAAGAGAATGTTGTAAGAGAAGGTTGTGGATGTAGCATTATATATTATTCACATATAAGAACAAGTGGAATAGCTCAACAACATTGGCAAGGTTAATAGATGATGGTGGATGTAAAAGAGTAGATGTTAGCATTAACTATTAAAGACAATTGAAATGACATGAACAGGGAAAATACACAAAATTGGATTCATTCACCCAATTCTGGTTGTCAATTATATTTACTTTGTTCAAGGAAAGACAAACCTAAGATTCCACTTTTCCTTCTCAATACATCTAGTAGTTTCTCCATTCCTCCAAAATGGTAAAAATTTACTGCACTTTCACTTTCATTGGAGAAAAAAGAGATAGGTGAAGTAAATGACTCGGAAAGCAGCACATGAAACAAATCAGCAGTAGTCACTGTACTTGCTGTCCTTAGAACTTTGAACCTTTGCAAAGTAACCTCAAAACTTTGCAAGTGTAATTTTCATCACTAAAATAAATCAAAAACAGATTATAAAAATTCTGAGACCACTGCCTATCAATACTACTTGTTCTTTTTTGTGAGTAATAGAATTATGATACTACATTTTTGGCAAAGAAAACTTGAAAGAAACATAATAAGTCACTTCTAATTCTAACTTAACATCTATAAATCCCTCTTCAATGACAAGAGACCCACATGCCCCAATTGTCTTTGTTGGTGGTCCTCTGTCTCACTTTTTTCTGCCTCTTCATCTCTCACACAAACACAAACACAAACACAAAGCCTAAACTCATCACCAAAACAAAATATGTCGACTCTCAACCGTCTCTTTGATCTCCCTGAACAGATATGCTATGTGCAATGTAGTTTCTGCACCACCATTTTACTGGTAATTATCATTGCAGTATCCATATACAAAGTTAGAAGAGAAGCTAATATATTTATCTTAATTTTATCAAATATATATGCAGGTAAGTGTCCCATGTGGTAGCTTATCCATGGTGGTAACGGTGAGATGTGGCCACTGCACAAGCCTCCTCTCTGTCAACATGATGAAAGCCTCGTTTCTCCCTCTTCATCTTCTAGCTTCTCTTAGCCATGATGATGAGGTATCCTCTTTTGTGGGTTCTTTTTGTCTCTTCATTAAACATCAAGGACATGAATCAAGCATCCATTTCATCAATAATACTTGCCATATACATATATATTCTCCAGCTCGTTTTCTTATTATGTTCCCAACATTAAAATAATAACATGCACACAATTTGATTTCGCCGTTCGGTGTCTTTGATGTTTATATAAGATCCTCATACACTTGCTGATCTCTTTCCAGCCAAAAGAGCAAGAGGATGCCAAGAAGGCCTTGAACAGGCTCAGCCCTTCCATAATGACTTCTTCTGACAATGAAGAAGAGTCCTGTGTGAATCACATCGTTAATAAACGTTTGGCTATCTAACTTTTCTTTCAATTTGGAGGAAACTTTGTTCTGATTATTCTTGATTATTTTGATTTAACTGATTCTCTACAGCTCCTGAGAAGAGACAAAGAGCTCCATCAGCTTATAACAGCTTCATTAAGTAATTTTCAAACTTTAACTATCTTAAAATTATACTACCATCCATACGTTACGATCTTAGGAGTTCTCACGTAGATAGAGATCTATGGCAGGGAAGAAATCAGAAGGCTCAAGGCTGAAAATCCAAACATGGCTCACAAGGAAGCTTTCAGTACCGCTGCAAAAAATGTAAGCATCAGAAAGCCAACATGAATGAAAACATAAAAAAATAAAAACGGAAAGAGAAGGGATATTTCATTTAAAATGTGAACTAAATCTATGGACGTTTTTGCCTGTTTCAGTGGGCCCATTTCCCTCCAATTCAGTACAAAGGAGATGGAGAAAGCTGTGGGCAGGAACAAGAAAAGGCAGCATGGAACTCTAATGCCATTGAGACTGATCAGGTAATCGGTATATATAAATTGTTCAAAACTTTGACTTCACTATATGATAAGAAGCATTCTCGAATAACACTGCCACTTCCCTCTTTGATTCATACGAATATCAGCTTATGGTCATTAGACTTTTTCAATTTGATTATCATATAATTAACGCATGTCCCTCCACTAGAAAGCTGCACTTTAGAAATCTTTTATATCTAATGCTAGCCTATCTGCTATTTTGAGATGATTAACATAATTAGAGAACTTCAAGCGGCGGTCTGTAGTACTATCCGAGTTCAGTTTAGAAATCTTCAGTGTTCCGCCAGGGAAGGAAAGGCCATAATTTGAATCCATTTAATAACATAAAAATCAACAAGTCATGAGCATGCATAAATGTTCAACTACTACCACATGATAAATTTATGAGTTACCCCTAAGGGTATTTGAAGAGACAGTTAAGACTATTTCAGCTCTAGTAAGTATGTGGAAACTTATGCCACTAAAACGAGTGCTTTACTTTCTGTTGTAAAATTTTACAGGTCTATGGAGACGACAATAATTGCTTCCGTGAAAGAAAATCCCCAATGCGTTCAATACGAGCAAAGACACCGTTCGAGTAAAAACGATTTAGATTTAGATATATAAACTACCTTAAGAAGTTGTATCTCTTTTAGGGTTAGGGCTGTATTCAGGTCATTTGCCTTTTTGAGGTAGATGCTCTTGGGAATGAGAGATCATATTCACATCGAGTTATATAAGACTCATGACTGACTCAGAAAACTTCAGCTTTCAAAGGGTTATTAATATATAGTTCGTGGAATTTACTAGTGCTAGATCATTAATTAACATCCAACGTCTGAATAACAGTTTCTTAGGCTTAATTAGGTTTATTGATTGATTGGATTAGGACTAAGATTGAAGTTCATATTACTAATTTTCTATCTGTTAGGATTTCTATTTTCTGATATAGAAACGTGTGTTGATGAGCATATATAAGGCACATCCATATTCTGTAAACCATATTTAAGTACACCTGAGACCATGTTCAGTCAATTCAATTAATGGTGTAGCTCAAAGCATTAATGTGGCGGTTTGCTTTTGGAAATAACTTCTTGATAGTTTAAGATCCCATCTATAGTTGTTTTTGGAAGATAATTGTAGTTCGATAGTCACGAATTATAAGAACTTATCAGAAATTCTTTCCCTCTCATTATCGCACACAAACATAGGAAAAAGATATATTTATGAAAAATTACTGTATATCGATCTATATATCTTAACACTACACACAAAAAGCTTATACACCTCTTGCGTAAACTAATCTAACTTATCATTCAACAATAAGTTATGATTTCTAAGATCCTTTCCTTTGATTTTCTTTCACATCCATTGTCTCCTTCTTGTGAACCTCGGTCTTCTTCGAATATATCTACCTGAAAAATAAAATGCATCGTATCGGTATGATATTCTTTACAGGAATTCACTTTCTTTTTTTATTTTATTTTTTCCGCTTACCAAATTTGTGAAAGGTACAAATCAACAACGATCACCAGCAATAAAAGTTTTAGAAGAAATTAACTTTGTCTTTGGGGTCTTACTCATGAAAGGCCTGGGAGAGATAGCATGGAAATATTCTTGAAAGAAGTCCTTATTCTCCTTTTGTAGCTCCCTCCACACTGCAAAACATGAACTCAACTATGTTATAATTTGCGCGGGTGGGGTGGTGTGTGTTTGAATGAACAAGAAGTTTGACATATATATATATATATATATATATATATAAAAGAGAGATGATGATCGACCTGTTAGTGTAACGAGTGGGCGAATATTGGCGTGCTCCGCCAGTGCCTTTATGCATTGGTCTCGGTTCATGTGAAGAAGTAAGCACCTTTCTATTAGATGCTGAACCTGTATTTCCCATGCATGCTAAACCATTAGTGTAACATATAATACGATTAGCGACAAAATAGGAAAAGATTTTACAAAAATTTTAATCCTTGAGTGTTCCTTTTATACAAGGTTGATTTCGTGTGAAGTTGCATATATGACGTGAGAATCAGAGAGAGAGAGAGAGGTAGTAAGATTCACCAACCATCCTTATGTAGCTATGAGGGTGGCAATGCAAACAAGGAGAAGGAGAGAAGTGGTGGATATGATACATTTTTAGCTTCAAGCTTTGATCATACAAAAATGGACAAACAAACAGAACAAAGTGAAGAGAGAATGCAAACAAATGAAAAGTGGAAGGACGAGGAGATATTTAGGAAAGTTATATAGTAAATTAGCATTAGGTTGTTATCCACAGATATCCAAGTGAAGGGCCAAAAAAGCACCAAGAAATCCAAACGATAGATTTACCTCATCTTGAGGAGATAAGAGGCTGCTGATTTTTTATTTTTAGAGATTGATGAAAATGTAAATATTTTGACGATGACAACCCTCTGGAGTCTGGCCACTTGAGCTACCACTCTGCAAACCCAATTGCTGGATGTGCAGGGACCTACATTCATCAACCGCGCCTTCAATGTGAGTGTGCAATGGTCCCCTATTCTGTAATGTACTTTTGAGTTTTGACCCACTCTTCATCAATGAATTACCACCTTATGAGGCTAGCTAGATAGATCTCTTTCGTGTATAAACACACGCCACGTCGTGCTTTACTTTGAAAGCAGGAGAGACACAGGTTTTTTCCACTAATTACTGTGAGAATGAACATGACTTGGCCTTGCTAATGCCGCCACAAACACCACCATCCAAGTTGTTAAGGTAATAACGTGTGTGGCATAGCATATATTTAAGAGTTCAATGAACCTTAGGAGTGACTTAAGATCTATCAGCTCTTATTTGAAGACGTTACTGCACTGGAGAAACTGATTTCCCCCTCCCCTCAACAACTAGCTTCCACTTCCCAGTCCCAGTGCAAATTCTACACGTGGACGTCCATCAAAGTGGAGTTTCAGAAAGAAATTGATCCACATGCTAAAAGCAAGTAGCCGCAATGCCCATTTCTTGGACGAAACTCAACCGATATCGCTAACAATTAATTTAACCAATCTTCTGGTCTTAAATCTTAGGCTCGCTCCGGGAAATAATCGTTTTAGAACGTAATTAAATATACTTGTATTATGAGTGAAATTGGTTTTGATTATCTTTGAGAGGCTTTTATCATCGTTGAAACACTGTTATGCGTGTTGAGATAAAATAGTTTTTTTTTTTTTTTTTTAATATAAATTTCTCTAGATTATTTTTGTATATTAAAACCATTTTTAGTAAATAATATCAGAATTTAGAAATCTCTTTTATATTTTCTTAGTCAACACAACAAAAAAATTTTCATAAAAGCACTAACAAACTCTTTTTCTTTTAGTGCTACTAGAAAAAGGATACTAGACGGCCGTAATAAATCTGGGTAAAAACCGCTTCTTTATGCTTTTCTTCTTACAGGTTTACCATTTCAATACGCAATATGGTTATGGTGCATGACACGAGAGAAGAAAACATTCTTTAATCTTTATGATGCCAGCGGCGGATCCAGCCACTTTTTTTGGGTGAGCCATGGCCTACCCTCAATTTTTTTTTTTTTAAATATTAATATGTATAATTTATATATTTTGACTCACCCTAAAAAAAATTTCTAGATTCGCTACTGACGATGGCCGAGACGGAACACTCGTAAAATGGGAAAAAGAGTTACGACTACGCTATTGCATTTGCTGGTTGCTTCAGGAAATTATCATAATCTCAAACGGGACGTATATAAAACACTGACTTGCTGGACTTCTCCAAAACCACACACAACACTACTGACTTTGTGGACTTATCCAAAACCACACACAACATAACATTTCTATTTTCGTGATTATGATTTGAGCAATGCTGTCCTTAGCAATTTTTTTTTACAAACTTCTCTTCCAACCCTAACATAACAGATGACTTAGCGTTATCAAGTCAAGTCCACTACATAGAAGGTACAAAATAAATTTAACTAAACTAAAGGAATAGTTGTTCTTTAAGAAATAGTCATTCATTTCTTAAAGAATTGTTTTTTATTCATAAAGAATAACCGTTCTTTCTAAAAGAATGAATGCTGGTTTCTAATAGTGTCTTGAATGTCTTGGGTGTGATAGACTAGAAGCTGACGTGACAATACTAATCTACTGTCACGCTAAGATTATAAGAAAAGATTATGAAATTATATTATAAACGTAACATTTTTCCTATTATTTAAGGCTCCGTATCCCTTTTAACTTTGAAATTTATCAATGAAATAATATTATTAATATCTAATCAACTCATAAATCTAAAATTGAGTTCACTTGCCCTTTTTATTTAATTTTTCTTCATTTGCCCAAGAATTTCAAACAAAACAACCACCAACTCTGTTACTTAATCTCCCAAACTCTACATGCCNTCATGTGAAGAAGTAAGCACCTTTCTATTAGATGCTGAACCTGTATTTCCCATGCATGCTAAACCATCAGTATAACATATAATACGATTAGCGACAAAATAAGAAAAGATTTTACAAAAATTTTAATCCTTGAGTGTTCCTTTTATACAAGGTTGATTTCGTGTGAAGTTGCATATATGACGTGAGAATCAGAGAGAGAGAGAGAGGTAGTAAGATTCACCAACCATCCTTATGTAGCTATGAGGGTGGCAATGCAAACAAGGAGGAGGAGAGAAGTGGTGGTTATGATACATTTTTAGCTTCAAGCTTTGATCATACAAAAATGGACAAACAAACAGAACAAAGTGAAGAGAGAATGCAAACAAATGAAAAGTGGAAGGAAGAGGAGATATTTAGGAAAGTTATATAGTAAATTAGTATTAGGTTGTTATCCACAGATATCCAAGTGAAGGGCCAAAAAAGCACCAAGAAATCCAAACGATAGATTTACCTCATCTTGAGGAGATAAGAGGCTGCCGATTTTTTCTTTTTAGAGATTGATGAAAATGTAAATATTTTGACGATGACAACCCTCTGGAGTCTGGCCACTTGAGCTACCACTCTGCAAACCCAATTGCTGGATGTGCAGGGACCTACATTCTTCAACCGCGCCTTCAATGTGAGTGTGCAATGGTCCCCTATTTTGTAATGTACTTTTGAGTTTTGACCCACTCTTCATCAATGAATTACCACCTTATGAGGCTAGCTAGATAGAGCTCTTTCGTGTATAAACACACGCCACGTCGTGCTTTACTTTGAAAGCAGGAGAGACACAGGTTTTTTCCACTAATTACTGTGAGAATGAACATGACTTGGCCTTGCTAATGCCGCCACAAACACCACCATCCAAGTTGTTAAGGTAATAACGTGTGTGGCATAGCATATATTTAAGAGTTCAATGAACCTTAGGAGTGATTTAAGATCTATCAGCTCTTATTTGAAGACGTTACTGCACTGGAGAAACTGATTTCCCCCTCCCCTCAACAACTTCCACTTCCCAGTCCCAGTGCAAATTCTACACGTGGACGTCCATCAAAGTGGAGTTTCAGAAAGAAATTGATCCAAATGCTAAAAGCAAGTAGCCGCAATGCCCATTTCTTGGACGAAACTCAACCGATATCGCTAAGAATTAATTTAACCAATCTTCTGGTCTTAAATCTTAGGCTTAATTAAATATACTTGTATTATGAGTGAAATTGGTTTTGATTATCTTAGAGAGGCTTTTATTATCGTTGAAACACTGTTATGTGTGTTGAGATAAAAGAGTTTTTTTTTTTTTTTTTTTTTTATAAATTTCTCTAGATTATTTTTGTATATTAAAACCATTTTTAGTAAATTAATATCAGAATTTAGAAATCTCTTTTATATTTTCTTAGTCAACCAACAAACAAAATTTTCATAAAAGCACTAACAAACTCTTTTTCTTTTAAGTGCTACTAGAAAAAGGATACTAGACGGGCCGTAATAAATCTGGGTAAAAACCGCTTCTTTATGCTTTTCTTCTTACAGGTTTACATTCAAATTACGCAATATGGTTATGGTGCATGACACGAGAGAAGAAAACATTCTTTAATCTTTATGATGCCAGCGGCGGATCCAGCCACTTTTTTTGGGTGAGCCATGGCCTACCCTCAATTTTTTTTTTTTTAAATATTAATATGTATAATTTATATATTTTGACTCACCCTAAAAAAAATTTCTAGATTCGCTACTGACGATGGCCGAGACGGAACACTCGTAAAATGGGAAAAAGAGTTACGACTACGCTATTGCATTTGCTGGTTGCTTCAGGAAATTATCATAATCTCAAACGGGACGTATATAAAACACTGACTTGCTGGACTTCTCCAAAACCACACACAACACTACTGACTTTGTGGACTTATCCAAAACCACACACAACATAACATTTCTATTTTCGTGATTATGATTTGAGCAATGCTGTCCTTAGCAATTTTTTTTTACAAACTTCTCTTCCAACCCTAACATAACAGATGACTTAGCGTTATCAAGTCAAGTCCACTACATAGAAGGTACAAAATAAATTTAACTAAACTAAAGGAATAGTTGTTCTTTAAGAAATAGTCATTCATTTCTTAAAGAATTGTTTTTTATTCATAAAGAATAACCGTTCTTTCTAAAAGAATGAATGCTGGTTTCTAATAGTGTCTTGAATGTCTTGGGTGTGATAGACTAGAAGCTGACGTGACAATACTAATCTACTGTCACGCTAAGATTATAAGAAAAGATTATGAAATTATATTATAAACGTAACATTTTTCCTATTATTTAAGGCTCCGTATCCCTTTTAACTTTGAAATTTATCAATGAAATAATATTATTAATATCTAATCAACTCATAAATCTAAAATTGAGTTCACTTGCCCTTTTTATTTAATTTTTCTTCATTTGCCCAAGAATTTCAAACAAAACAACCACCAACTCTGTTACTTAATCTCCCAAACTCTACATGCCGGAACTGCCTGTGTACTCCAAAGTTAGAAGCAGTTTCCTAAGAAAGATGTAATTTAAACTATGGTTCACACTTAACAGAATCCTAGCAAATGATCCAACATACAAGGTCATCTATACCCTTTAATATGAAAAAATGTTCCCTACTAGAAAAAGTCTCATGGCATGAAATGCCACAACTAATTTGGTCATCAAACCTGCACTAGAAACCAAAATACGCAGGTCAATATTGCTTGGAGTACACAAACATAGTTTCACTCATAACATGCATATCCATGATAAATGACAATGATCTGAATCACGACAAATAACAGGCAACAAGAAACACATTATACCAAGCATTTGATAACTCAGCTTCTTAGGTAGCTTTTCTTACACATAATTATCCATGAAACATGGCAACTAATCCATAAGCACAACCAGTCCCATGTACCTGATTTCTAATAATGCTCCATCCTAAAGAAAACTCAGTAAACACAGAAAGTGTTCACAAGATATTACAATATAGAAGCTGACAAACAAGGGCAACAGGGTATACGAGAAAACAACTTCTTGTCACTCCATCAGCTCCCTCAGCTGGTCTCAGACTTCTCCAAAGCTGCAACAATGATTGAAATCAGTGCAAAGAAATGACAAGAGAAATCAAACGCCCCAGCTGTGAAATCACTGAAATGCATGTATATAGGAATACAGAATGAAAACTGAAAGAGAGATTACTATTGTAGTTCAGAAGCTTTTCAATGAGGTCCACATGAGTCATAAGCATTCGCCTACAGCAATAACGGACCAAACCCAACGCATCAAGTGCATCTCTGCATAAAGTTGCAAGTTAGCATTCTACGCAAAATATGCATAACCATGAATCTAATGCTCTATATATGTAGACACTTGGTGATACCATTAGTCATGTTCAAATAAGAAACAAAGTAACTAAAAAACGACATTCTTCCATATCCATAAGGAGGGCAATAGAAACACACACATAGTTGCCAGAGAACTCATATTATACATACACTGATACACATCTCTGCATATTTTAGGCTCAGATTAACTACATATATTCATTTTCATACTTCTAGGGTGCATGTATTTCCAAAAACACACATAAACAATTAGGCCAACAAACAATAAACAGTAATGCAGAAAATTAATAAAATGCATACGGCTTACGTTTATCAATTATCAATTCATTGCAATTCTGAACCATATGTGTTCTTCAAAACAAGACAGGTAAACCACATAACCCACACTAACAATAATTCTTAACACAATTAACTATAGGTACCAGAGCATAGAGGGGCAAAACCAGACTTTTTTTTTTTTTTTTTTTTTTTTTGGGAGGGCTCAATACTTTTTAAACTATACACTATAAAAAATTATCAATCTAGACAACAGAAAATTATAAAATATAATAAGGTATATCATTTAAAATGTATATTTTATTTTGAAAATGACAATAAATGTCTACATGGTAAATTGAACTTCTTTTAATATTGTAAAAATTTAGAAAAAATTGGAGAAGAGAATATGTGAAAACAAGAGAAAAGAAGACATTTGGTTAATTCTAAAAAAAATGTTTCTTTGTTTTCATGGATTGTGGTTTTGACAATTATTCCTGTTTACCAAAAAGCGATTAATTGACTTTGAAAATTAAAATCTTTTACTAAGATTTATAGATTTTTCTTTAGAAAATTAAAATAAGTTAAGTAACATATAATAAATTAAACGATTTTTCTTATAAAATTAAAATAAGTTATGCAACATATAATAAATTATTAATTTACATTAAAAAAATTTTAAAAAATTGTAATTTTTTTTTTCAACTATAGCCCCTTTAAGCATACCAAGCACGAATCTATTTTTCGCTAAAACCACCCAAACCAAGTACAATAGAAAGAAACAAAAATATAGATTATGCAGCAATGTACAGGATTTATTCACAGCTAGACCACTTGAATCTTCAACCAGTAACAATCTCTCACCGGAAACAGCTTCAATGGTTGAACAGAATTGGGAAAATATATAACAAGAGAGCAAAAATAATACAGAAGATATTGAAATGATAAACAATGAAATTAAGTTCTCACCCTTCAGTGTAGTCTGCCTGGAGAAGGTCAAGATACGTGTCCCACTTGTTTCCGATGACCTGAAAACAAATTAATCAAAACCCTAGAACGGTTTGAAGGAAGAAACACGTAACCCAAATCGAAAGATAAGAAAGTTGCTAAGCCGCGAGAGTTGAACATGAAAGTTAACTTGCCGCAGGTGAAGCAACGAACTGGAATAATCATCTTTCCTCTTTTGCGTTCTAGAAGTAGAGGGTTCAGTGAAGTTTTGCGCTCTAGAGGTAAGGGTTCAGTGAAGTTGGGGTTTTAATGTTTTATTCTTAAGATCCATATACATACATGAATACATGATACATCAGTCGGGCCGTCGTTTAAGTTTGGCCTAATGCCTATAAAACGCAGCGTAGCAAGTGAAGACTTCATTACACAAAATAATTAACACAAAACGCAGCGTAGCAAGTGAAGACACAAAATAATTAACACAAAGTAAGAATGTAAATATTAATTAAAAGCGTTTATAATAATAATCCTCTAAGCTATAATCAAATAACAGAAATTACCGTATAATAATAACAAAAATCATCAGTTGTTAAATTTTTTGTATTAAAATAAATTGTAACATGGTAAATATTTATTAACCATCATTTATAAAGTTTAATGGTACCCTAAAGACTCAATAAAGATAAGAGGAATTTCTATTATTTTTGAAATTTCAGAGAAAAATTTGTTAGTTGATAAAATCATCACAGGTTGAGAAAAACTCTTATCAAAGATTAAAACATTAAAATAATTATATTATTTATAAGAAAATTTTTAGATGCAATTTACTGTTATTTAACAGGAAGTTAGGCGAGGTCGGTGTTATTTTTGAAAATGTGAGGGAGGTTTTTTTGATTTTATGATTCGGGCTTCCCGGGTCAGCTTATGCGTTCTTCAATTAAACTCCCAAGACTTTAGAACTATTGGTCAAGTAAGAGCTCCAGTGACTACCCGTCTACCCCTTTAACAATCGAAGAGTGATTCAAAGTCATTACCTCTTAAGTAATACATTCAAGAGTTTCTATTGAACCATTAGGCCATCTAAAGGTAGATATGTGAGGAAGATTGTAGTTTCCTTTCCTAATAACATTTTATAATATACCCATTTGATTTATTACATTGTCTTATTTAATCTATTTTTATTATAAAAAATTACTAGTACATAAGATTTTGGAAAATGATTTTATTTTTTATTTTTCAAAAAAGAGGTTTTCTTTAAAGACACAAAGGGTGTGTTTGATTGGGGGTTATATAATATTACTAAGGTAATGTTAATTTATATTATTTGATTATTACATTTGATTGTTAGGTAATATAAGATTCCAATAATCTTCTAATACCAATAGTAGTTACTGTTAGTGTAGGAGGTAATCTGATTACCTCTATTTTCTTAAGTATTTTAAGATCACTTAGTAATTTTATTTTTGTTATAATTTTACCCCTTATTAATAAAATTTTAGCACAATAATGCACTTGTTTTGAAAACAATTTACAAAAATATCAATTGACAATTTTATCCTTATATACAAAGTTTTTAGGACATAAATACCCCTAATTTTTAAAAAATTACCCAAGACTGGTGGTTGGATCAGGCCACCTTGCCAACCGCTAGAAACCACCACTGGTGGTGACGGAATGGCATACAATTGGCCATATCTGGCCGGCCATGCGTCGATAAGGTTGTTTTCAGCCACTGGAAATAGCCAAATATGACCTCTCACAGCCAGATCTATGGGCGTTTCACAGCCGTGAAAGGCCAGATATTTGGCCGTTGTTTCACAGTCAAATATCTGGCCTTTCACGAATAGATCTCCACTTTCGTTGTCGACGACAGTGGTGGCACGCCGCCGACAGTGACTTGGGATGGGCTAGGGTGTTTTTGTTAAGTTCTAAACTTTTTGTTGCTGGTGTGTTTTAGCTAAATCTAAAATGTAGAGGATGAAAAAAATTATTCAAATAAATAAAAATAACATTATATTAATATTTAAAAACGAGGACAATTTAGTAAATTATATGAAATACCCACCAATTTATTCATTTAAACCAAACATATTAATATATCATACTCACCAATTTATTCATTCAAACCAAACATATTACTATAACATATCTAATAATTTATTATTTTTATTAATATAATATTTTTTGAATCAAACACATCTAAAGTAAATAGCTAACTTTCATTTCTACCTTTAACAAAAATTTGAAAAATTCAATCATATTTTTTAGAATTAAAAATGGTAAGATTTTAGCAATAACATTTAACAGGGAGTCCAATTTCCAAATTTAAACAAAGATGAACACCTTCAACCACAAATTTTGTTTTGAAATAAAAAAATTATAAAAAAATTAATGAGAGTCTTTAGATCACAGGGAACCGCGAGATCAGTTTGATGGAACGTAATCGGTAAATTATTAATTGTGTTTGAACGAAAGAGTTGGCATAAACAAAAAGCTAATGCATTGCTGACCCAATACTATGTACATGGATTTTTCAGAGTGAATAATGGGATCATGTTTTTGTACGCCTAAACGTGTTCTTAATTCTTATTAAACCAAAAGTCTAACACACGCCTTTTGACATTTGACTTTTTGGATTTACGAAATTCAGATACCTTTATGTAATTTCACTGTTGCTTATTATTATATCAACAACACTTATTTTACTAATAAAATGTTAATTAATTAAAACATGGCTGTAATATATCCATTTGTCTTTTATAGAGTTGAATGAATCTACTGATTAAAATGGTTGTGTTGGACAAACTTGAAATCCCCGCAACGATGATATGATTTAAGCGTGGACGGTTATCTGATTAGTCCATGGAAGAGTAAAGATCGTACGGTCATCAAAACTTTCATAATGATGAAATCTTCTGGCACCGTCGATATCGATTATTTCTTTCCATAAATATTTTAATTAAAGATTTAATAAAATATAAAGTAATTTTAATTCCGTGAAATAAGGGGCGTCGTTTGCTCACCCGCCAAAATTTACCCGCCAACGCCAACAACAACGCTGGTGAGGTGGGACCAGGGAGGGTGGGGCCCCGGATGAGAAGAGTCAGGCAACCACGCACTCTGTTTTCCCGCTTTTATATTAAATTGTTGTTGATGGTTCTCGTACCGACCACCACGATGCATACTCATGATTCTCCATTTATTATTTTTATTTATTAAATGTACCCAGTAAACCACTTTTTCCCACCCAAGGTTTGCCTTAATACCTCATCCACCTAAAATATTTAAAATACCATTTTTCCCCACCCAAGTTAATATTTCATTATTACCCAAAGTTAATTCTAATGGCAATGTTCTCTCCATCACCATCATTTCATCTCCAATCTTCTCTCTACAAAACCTTCTCACTTCGACACCTGATTTCTGTCAATTATGAACTATCATAAAGCTAGGGTTTCTTATTCTTAATTGATTTACGACTAATTCCGCGATAATATTCAATCGTCACCACCTTTTGATCCACCACCTCCACTCTACAAAACCCTTCTTACCTGACTATTGGTAACTTCCTGAATGCCAAATGAGAAAGTGAAGTTATTTTATATATTAACGGAATATAACTTTGGGTGGAAAAGTGATATTTTGAAATTTTTGGGTAGTAAAGTATTCAGGCAAACCTTGAGTGGGAAAAGTGTTTACTCTAAATGTACCTTCTCATATTTATTTCTTCCCATTATCACGTCTTGTACATATTACCCATCAATCTCCAACCATTCAACCCTGTAAAAAAGTTTACCATTTATATCCCCATAATTATTATATTTTACATAAATTTCTTACAAATCAGTTTAAACCCATATAATAACTTCTCTAGAGTTTATAAAATTTATCCCTTAGATTTAATTAAACAACAAAAATCTTCCTTAAGTAGTTGAAATAACATAAATCTCTTTATTGTTAAGTTTTACATATTAAAATAAATAACACGAGAGTATTTTAGTAAAATATTTATAAATTTATAATAATATAACATTTATACTGTTATTTTTATAATTTTGTTGGGATATAATACCTTTAATATAATTAAAAAGATAAGAGATTTTTAAAATAATATAGTATTATAGATATGTTGGTTAATAAGATTTGAGTAGTTTTTATGGTATTAAATTCAGTAAATTTAAAAAGGGTAATAAAATTGGATGGTTTAAAGAGAAGGGCAAAAAATCCGGGCCGTTGTATTAGCTTGAGAAAAAGGGAAAGATGCAGAATGAAAGTGGGATCCACACATTTTTTTTTTTTTTTTTATCTTCAATATTAAAGTTAAAAAAGAAAAGAAATATAGTCAGTAATAACTTACTTTGTTTCACTGCAGTTATAGTGATAAAACAAATCAGTTTGCGTAACCACAATTCACGAAGAACAACAACGCCTCCACGATTCATTTATTCATTCATTCATTCCATTTATTCTTATTATTAATTTCCACCCCACCACCCACCCCCCACTCCCACCGCACCTCCTCCCTATAAATTTTTCTTTTTCTTTCTTCATCGCTTCCCTCTTAACACTCCAGGTCTTTTTTTTTTTTTTTTTTTTTGGGGATTATTTCTTTTTACTTTGATTTTGGGTTAACTTTGTGTGGTTTTGCAGGATCTTGGACTGTGTTTTTTTGCGCACTGAATCAAACCGTTTGTTTCATATATTGCTGGTAACTTGGCTGATCGCTCTTTCTTAATTTTTTTTTTTTGTATGATCTTGATTATTTTTGACTTTTTTTTTTTTTTTTTTTTTTTAAATCTTGGGTCAGGAGATCTAAGTCTCTCAGTTTTGATGCTTTTTCTGCATTCTAATATGTTTGATTTTGTTTTAAATTAAAATATGATCAAACTGGTTGAATATCTCTCTCTTTGCCATTTTTCTTCTTCAGATGATGATGATTATCTCACCATCTTCGTATGATTACTGTGTTTTTTTTTTCTTTTTTTGTGTTTGAAAGCCTAAAAAAAAAAAAAAAAAATTATGTCATCACAATTGATGTATCTCTTTGCCTACTCTCTTCACTTTCTATCTGGTCATCTGGGTATTATAGATGCATATGTTTTTGCTTCTGTTACTTTCTTTTTCTTTTGCATATCTACATGCTATTTTTGTTTTATTTATTTTTCTTATTTTTGGGCATCCCTTTTACGGTCAATAGCATTTTTTTTGTTTGCTATTTATACTGCATTACCTGTTTTTGACTTTTCAATCCGTAGTTTCAATGATCTAGAGATAAATTTTATGTCTTTTTCCTCTTTTGTTCAGTCAATTTATGTATATACCTTTCATAGGTTTTGCAAATTAATAATACTTCTTCACATATTCCCACTATGTTTAAATCATATGAACTCGATGGAAATTACATTGTGTTTAATGTGACCTGTGACCTGTGAACTGAATAGAGGGGAAGTGATACCACCGTTTGAATGTGTTCCTTCTTGAATCCGTAGACACTTGTTAATAATGAAATGCATTGGGTCGATGGTGATGTCATGTTGTTAGTATATTCCATATCCCGTATCATTAAATTATGTTATCTTGTATTCTCATTCTTTATTGTGGATCTTGCTCCTATGTCTCTTGATTGTGAAACTGATTAATAGCCCTTCTATGAATTTGTGAAACCCTGCTTCCAATTTCGTACATACTAAAGTACATTCTTGAGGTTTGTGATATGTGTTTTTGTTTTTTTTTGGTTTCGAGATATGTGTTTTAAGGTGAACAATGAGTTATAGTTTACCAATTACTTTACAGATTTTTATTTCCCCCATATATTTGTGTTTGGATATCATATCTTCTGAGTATATAGCTACCAGTCATGATGTTTCTTCCTTTGATGTCCCTATTGCTTTTTGCACCTTCTTACCAAGGTCAGTGACATTAATGAAGTTAATTTCTTATCTTTTGAGGTTTTAACACCCAAGCATTCTAGGTTCCAAGTTTGAGCTTCAGGTAATTTTTGTCCTAAATGTTCCCTGAGGCAAACCTTGTCAAGTTTGCTGAGTTGAACAGGGGTCTTTTGTTATATCAAACATTTTTATGTCGCAGAAAATTTATGTCGTTTCCTTGTTTCCATTGAATATGGTTGTGTTACTGGCACTCTTCATATATCACCAGAATTTCTGCTTTAACTCGCATTTTAAATTTCCCTTGCCTCTTGTTGTAGGTAATTTAGCAACCATTGCAAGCTATACAATTTAGAGTAAACTAGTTTCAGTACTAGTAAAAATGTTGGGAGGCAACAGTGGTAATCCTGTTCTTCCAGTTTTCCTGGATGAGAATCGTTTTCAGTATCAGACTAATTCATCGAATCAACTGCAGTTATTTGGAAATTGTGAGTTCTCTTCTCATATAATTGAGTTATTAAATTTAACATTATGTCCTTGATGAAATCCTTATGATATGTATGTACAATGCTTTGCATACAGCAGTGTGTTCCTTTGTATTTGTTAACCGTAGTCATTGAGAAAGAAAATATATTATGAGTCCAATCTCTGCTAGCTTTTGGTCTTTGGTTGCATCTCCTTTTCTGGATATGCTGTTTTGACTTACTCTGTTTTGGATCCTTTGTCAGATCTTTTGCTTGATGAGACTATTGAGTGCAGTCCTGTTTCTTTTTCTCTAACGTCAAACTTCTTATTGCTTGACTGATTTGTAATTTAATATCCTTGTCTCAGTACCAGTTGGGTGTAACATCGATCAAGTAAATTATTTTGGAAATGAGCATATCACTCCTCTGCTGCGGCCCAATAAACGAGGCAGGGAAATGGAAGATTTCTCCAGGCAGCAGAAGCTGCAGATCTCCTTGAATTCAAACATCTGCCAAGATGAAGCTGATCGTTCTGCAAGTATTCCGAAGCCAAACCCTGTATCAACAGGATTAAGGCTATCATATGATGATGATGAACGTAACTCATCTGTAACTTCTGCAAGTGGTAGTTTGAATGCTGCACCACCAATCATCTTGTCTCTTGGTGCCAATGTTAGGACTGAGCTTGATCGTCAGAAAGAAGAATTTGACCAGTATATCAAAATTCAGGTATATATGCTCTCATGGTGAAGATACAAATGCATCTTCCTAACTTTCCATTATGTTGCCTTACTATTTTCTGGGTAAAATTAGTATGATATCTGTGATCAGATGTTTCAAGTACACTATTTTTTACGAGAAATAGGATGCTTTAGTTTATTATTGGCAGAATCCAGCCAATATCCATACCTAATTGGATGTTAAACTCAGTAATCAACCTGTCAGATTTTTTGTTATTGTAATGACTTGTTGCTGTTGTTTGCACCTTGGTATTAATGTTTATTGCATTTTTCAAACAGGAAGAACACTTGGCAAAGGGGGTTAGGGACTTGAAGCAGAGACAAATGGCTTCATTCCTTTCAACTATAGAGAACGGTGTGGGTAAGAAACTCCGAGAGAAAGACCTAGAGATAGAAAACATGAATCGCAAGAATAGGGAACTGATTGAGAGAATAAAGCAGGTGGCTTCAGAAGCCCAGAATTGGCACTACAGAGCCAAATACAATGAGTCTGTCGTTAATTTCCTGAAGAACAACCTGCAGCAGGCAATTTCACAGGGTGCTGACCAAGGGAAGGAAGGATTTGGAGACAGTGAGGTTGATGATGCCGCATCATACATTGACCCAAACACCTATTTAAGCATTCCCGGTGGATCTTCAAAATCAGGTTCTAGGTATCATCACATGACATGCAGAGTATGCAAGAAAAAGGAAGTCTCTGTTTTGTTGATGCCTTGTAGGCACCTTTGTTTATGTAAAGATTGTGATGTGTTGGTCAGTGTTTGTCCTGTCTGCCAGTTTGTGAAAAAGGCCAGTGTCCCAGTGTGCCTGTCCTAAATGATAAAGCAATTTACTCGAAAATGAAAATTACTTGCACGCCGAATGGCACTGTCGTGAAACTATGAATTGTAAAAAAGATAAAAGAATTTGGGTAATTTTCTTTTTGTATATTTGATCTCTATCTGCGGTTGGGTTATTGCCATATGTTTTTTCGCTTCCCTTCTTGCCCCTTCTTTAGCTCGAGTTTAGTATACGTTTGCGGTTACTTTCTGAGAAGTTAGGGTGGAAAATAGAATATCAGGCTTGCTAAAATGTCTCTCCAACTTATGCGTTTCAAATAAATTTTAGCTTCGGGCACGACACACTTACGATTTTTCTAGAAATATGTTGTTACATGGTTAAAGAACAAGACAGTGACATTATCATAATTTATAAACCAAAGAAACAGTCCTTTTAGTCAAAGAATTAACCGTAACTAAGAGTATTAAAAAAAAATGTAAAAACTGAACCAAACTAGTAACCAAACCAAAATCAGTTCGATTACGGTTCAAAAAATTTGAAAAGCTAAATTTTCGGTTCGGTTACCGATTCGGAAAAAAATAAAAAACGGTTAACCAAAATCGATTTTTTGAACCAATTTTATATATATATATATAAAATAAAATATTATATTATATTAAATAAAAAAATAATAATATTTTTAATGTATTGTTAGTAATAGTCGATAGATATATATGAATGTTTAATTTTTTATTTGAATATGTATTATTTATATTTACAAATTAATTTAAGAAAAAATAAAAAAATTTAAATAAAAAAAAAGGGAAAACAAGTTCAAAACAGGTTAACCGCTTTTTTTAAAAACTAGTTTTTCCTCTAAACCGGTTCGGTTTCGGTTCGAAAATTTTTCCAAACCGAAAAACCGGTTCGGTTAAAAAAAGTGGTTAACCGGTTCGGTTAACCGCTTTTGAACACCCCTAACTAAGAGTATTAAAGGTCCCAAACACAAATAGCATTGAGATAAATAATGATACTTGATTAACAAAATACTAATGAAAAACTTACAAGTTCTTTCTGTATATATATTACAAGAAAAAAAACAAAAGCACATTACTGAGCAATATTTCAACAATATACAGAATGTGCATTACATTTGATACCGAAATAGAAAAAAATCAAATCAAATGAAAAAAAATCTGTTATGTAAAGAATCAAGAACTAATGCATACTTTACAGGTGCCGCCATATAATGTATATACTTAATCCATTGAGGTTGCAGAAGCAACATAATAATGGTGGCAGGAAGAACACTGAAAAATCCGATTGGTTCTCTCCACCCAAAGAATTTTCAGATCCTCCTCCTATTGTCTACTCTCATTTTCTTAGATGCAGGTTCAGCTTGTAGATGCTCCGTACTTGATTCAATCTAAAGCAAGGAAAAGAAAAAGGGAAAGAAATGGAATAAACTTACCTTCCACAGAATACAATAGTAACTAAATCCCTTGAAAGAAAATTATGTTGTATAGCTTTATCACCTTATTCAACTTCTCCCTGACAAAACGAACTGTCTGATTCATTGATTGGGATGAAAAATAATCCTGAGATCAATTACAGTAAACATAAACATCAGGCTTGGGCAATTGAACATCAAACAACTTCCAAAACTTTGCATGATAAGGTATATTGTTAAGGTGTCACTGTCAACTAATATTTATCCATATCATGCCTAATAAATGCTCTGGCTGACCCCTAAAAGACGGACACTAAAGATAACTTCAATTTAACAGTGACAAACCTTAATCAGAGGAATAATTTAATGATATTAATTTCAATACATTGAATGTGAAGCAAGATGAATACAACATACTGAAGTTGGAACAGCACTGCAGCAGGAATTTACGGCCTCGCTGTCCAGCAGTCAGAAATATCTATGCTAATCGAACCCGATGTGAGTATAAAGAGTACATTTGCATGTAAATGGTGATAACTAACACCTAAAGAAGTTTGATGCAAGCAGAAAACTACTCCTTTAGTTTACAAGAAAATGCCGAAATTGAATAAACAACTCAATGCCACAGTATTGCATAATAAAACAAAGACGCATCGACTACCAGAACCAAGTCTCATCCAGTTTTAGGTAACATATCTCGAACCAGTAAGTGTGAAACTGAGGCTGCAATTTCAATTAGTTGACCTCAATTTACAAACCAAAAGGCCAAGAGAACGAACTGAATTCAAGAAAATATATGACTTGGGTTTGAAGAATGTCAACCCAATTAAGGTGGAACTCAGCATGGATTAACCATTGCATCAACCTAACCCCATATAAAGGTACGACATAAATATCCTATCACAATGGTTATGTAAGCTAGATGTATTGTAAAAATGAAAAGTTATTAAACATAATCACGTCAATAAATGCTGCTTTCTTTTACGTCATATATTACAAAGAATGTTCAAATTTCAAGAATACTTTTGTATCTTATCCTTTATAATATTTTTAAAAGAACTTGAGCTGAATAGATATTGTCAATTCATACATTCACAAGAAAAGACAATGCACTCAAGGAGCTCAAGATGAAAATTATGCACTCAATGCTGATCAGAAAAATGCTGATCTAGTTCAATCAAACTTGGGGTCAGCAGCATGACCTCAGAGCCTGAACATAGTTGAGTTCTGCCCTGATCTCCAATTTGGGCTTTGGCAGTCTTTGTCCAAACTAACCAACCTACCCAAATCTGGCTACATTATTGTGAAAGATACAGTAGCAATAACCATTGCTATATTGTGCAACAACTTCAGTCATATTTTTAAAGTTTGGCATGAAAGTAAAGAAAAGGACGAACATACCTTATCAGAGGAAACTCTTGTGACTGATGAATCATTAACTTGATAAATATGTTGTGATTTACTAGAGTCCCCACAGAAAGTGATAGGAGAATCATTCACTTGACAAACACGGTGTAATTCTCTAAAGTCCCTACAAAAAGGAAAAACAATCTATCATATCTAACCAAAAACAGCCTTCAAGACTGCTAAACTGAAACATAAATTCATATTACATTTGTTTAGATGTTATTTTTTGGGAATTTAAGTTAAATTGAGAAGGAGCTTCAACCAACAATGAATCACTTAAACTGCCAGAATTATGAACCGTTGGCGCTTTGGATCTTCCAGCTGATATAAAGACAAAAAGGAAAAACAAATTGCATGAGATAAAAAGAACCACCATCCATTCACTTTCATAAGTAAATAGTTTTTCAGTGAATAGAAATCTAAACTTACGGTTCAATCTAGCTAGAACTTCCTTTCTCCTGCTTTCTAACTTGTCCTTAGTATCATCCACACTCTCAAAATGAGGAGCATATGAAACCTCCAGTCTATTTCCAAGAAAAACAAATTTGTCCAGTTTTCTTTTCGCAAATCTATCAAGTTGGACAATACCAAACAAAATAGTTTAAATTAGAAGCAAAAAAAAAAAAAAAAAAAAAAAAAAAAAAAAAAAGAAGACGATTTAAAATAACATCACGATTAGAAAAAAGATCACTAGTAAACTAGTTTTATTCACCTGGCATTGCTAAACCGTTGAAATTTGATAAAGTAAACGTCAGTAAATGCCTCACAGTCCTCTGCATCCATCGGCTTACATCTAAACATGCAAATGCCTAAAATTAACCTAACATTACATATTACAGAAACTAATTATAACAAACAAAGACAGAGAGAACTTACTTACTCATTAATGTCTCCATAAGTAGCAAACAATTTCATCAAATCATCGCCACATCCTAATGCTGGAACGTTTCTCACAATCAAATATCTGGAAAGTATATTAACCATTAGTAAAAGTTGAGACAAACAGGAATTAATAAAATTTAGCAAGTTAGTAAAAGAGAGAGACCTAGATTCGTCGCAGACTGTATATACGCGCACAGCAGGAGGCTCGTCTTTGTATCGACGCATGGTTTGCTCCTCAACCCTAGGGGTCTGTGTACGTTCAACAATTTAACTTAATCGGGATTTCTTCTGGAGAGATACAAGGTTTAGTGAAATCGCAGTGAAGAACGATACACCTTCGGAAAGAGATACATAATTTCATTTAATTGACGGACGTTAATGATGTTTAACGGTTAAAAAATAAAATGGACATAACACACTTCTTAATATAATAAGAATAATATTATGTATACTAACTAATTTATACTAATCCAAATATTAATATTGAAAATTTATGTATACTAACTAATTTATATTAATCCAAATACTAACATTAAAAATTTAAATTTTCTTTGAGAGAATTTCAAATTTTCAATATTAGTACTTGGATTAGTACAGATTAATTAGTGCATATATCATTACTCATATAATAAAGGGAGAGCGACGTTTCCCCACCCAACGTTTGGCAAAACGACCCTTTTCTACAATTCAAGTTTCAAAATGACACTTTCCTGTCTTTGTTAGGTTCTATTATGTTTTTTGTTAATATTTTATTGAAAAAACGACAATACCTTAATATTTGACTTTATAATTTTTTAATTAGCCAAAAAGTCAAAAAAGAAAAAATAGTTAACCCCACCTAAAAAGTTAGGATTAATGTTATGAAATTGTTTAAAGTTAAATAAACCTTAATATGTATTTATTTATTTATTTATAATATCATCAATATTTCATCACTATTATTTAATAATTTACTAAATTTATAATATTTTTTATTTTTATAGAAAATTAATATTCATAATTAATTAAATAAGCAAAGAAAAAAAAATCTTTATATTTGAACTAATAAATAATTAAGTAAAAATTTTGATTTAACTAAATTTTAATTTATAATAAATTATTTAAAAGTTTTTTCGTTTTTTTAATTAAATAATAGAAAAAACTAACCAAACTTGAGGAAAGATGGGAAAGCGTCGTTTTGTCATAACTTAACAGAACTTTAATTTAACTAAACTATGATGTTGGCGCCGATGTCGGTTTTGGAATTTAGAGTAAACCGCAGGAGTGGAGAACGGTTTGTCTTCTCTTCTTTTCCTTTGAATTGATGACAGAGTTGTCGTTCTTGTCTCAATAAAGAAAATGACACGTCGTCCTATTATTTGAAAGTTAGTTCGCATTTTAGTAATGATTTGTAGTGTGACTAAGAAGATGTGGGCAATTACATTCATATACTACTACTCTTCTTCTGACACATGTAAGAAATAGATAAATATAATATAAAAAATGTTAAACTTATCATTTGTACAAGATTTTTTTTTTATTTTTCTATGTTTATGTAAAATCTTGCTGGGGTCAGAGGCCAAGTGGAATAATATTTTCTCATGGGTACAGTACTCTTGGAAGATCAAATACAAATTATCTTTGTGTTCAGAAAAACTTTGAATATAAATAGGATAAACATACAGAAGAAATTTTCATAAGCTATGTTTTTTCATTGCACATCTCTTTCAGGAGATTATCGCTATCGGTGCAACTTTGTGTAGACCTTTTCTTCTCACCACCCAAGATCAAATATTAAATACGCTCGTTTATGGTTTTTGCATTTCCATTTCAATTTTTCTTGTGTAGGAATTCGCAAAAATCTTCCTCAGTTACCAATTTTCTTGTGTAGGAATTCGCAAAAATCTTCCTCAGTTACCAATTTTGCCGAATTTTAAGCCAGAAAAGAGAGCAAATGGTGATTAGGAAAGAGAAACTTGAGCCCCGTTTTATATAAGAAACTAAAATGAATACACTAAATTGATAAAAAAAAAAAAAAAAAAAACATCCGAGAGAACCCATAATTTTGGTAACTTAGAGGCCATTATAATTGTACGATCGTTTCTTATATGAGTAATGTCTTTAAAATATATTTTGCTGTTCGGACAAAAAATAATACCTTGGGGGTTCCCAAATCAGAAAGACGAATATGAAGACATGCAGTCCACAATAATATATGACCGAATAAGGATAAGAGTAATGCTACGGACACAGAAATTTTACATCGAATTTTTGTACCAAAGGACATGACAATTAGTCAGACGCGACCATGCTAGAGTCTTTCGTGAATGAACAGTCGTCCAATATTTATGGACGCCCGCTCATATTTAATGGACTACCGTTCATATTATATGGACGGGTGTCCATTTACTATAGACGAACGCCCAAATTTTAAATGAAAAATAATAGACGTCCGTCTATCTTATATGGACAGGTGTCTATTTACTATGGACGGGACGTCCATATAAGATGGACGCCCATCCAAAAAAAAAAATTTAAAATAAAAACTATGGACGTCCATCCATATAATATATGGATGGACGTCCATGTTCAATGGACAGACGTCCCTTTTAGATGGACGCTTGTCCATTGTTTTTAAACCATTGTTTAATTTAAAAAATTTTACACCAACATTTGAGTCTCAATCCAAAAAGTAAATGTCGTCATCTTCATTAAATTTTTGTCTATATTCAAAGTAATTGGACAAGTGTCATAGAATATGACACTAACTCAATTAGGATTCACAATTAGTGCATTAAATAAATTTAAAAGTTAAAATTTGTTAATATTATAAGAGGACGCCCGTCCTCAAACAATTTAGGCCAAATTTTTTTAGTTTAAACTATGAATGGGCGTCTATTCTAGGTGGACAACCGTCCACATAATATGGACGGGAGTCCATTTAAAATTAACGACCGTTTATTCGTGAAATATTTGTTAACGTGATATGTGACTCGTTTAATTCAGTAGACACGTCGTTCGATGTAAAAATTCGATGTAAAGCGTCAGTGTCCGTAGCATTTTTCTAAGGGAGTAATGCTATGTGTACTGACTAAATTGTATTCATCTAAGTACTAACAATTAAAATTTTGAATTTTTATTTTTAGTTTTTGGGAGGAATTGACGTGGCAATAAAAAAGGTATGCCATGTTAGTTAGTACTTGGGTTGTATGGTTTTCAGTTAGTGCCCGTAACATTATTCTTTCCAAGGATAAAAGCGTCAATTAAAGAGATAGTATCAGCCCATAAAAATAAGGTGGATCTAAGGAAAAAGTCAAAGAGCCCAAAACCATATGAATTTCAAGTTAAAACCAACTTCCCTAAGAATGGGGAACTGGGAATAACAAAATAAAAAAGCACCTGCTCTTATTATCATGCCTTGTGATAAAGTAAATGCACTATTGAGCCCCAAAATTAGTCATGCTTCCAAAACCTAAAATACAAGTAACCACCCATGATCCAGATTCCTTAAAAAAGGGGTACAAAGTTGAAGAGAATGGACAATTCCAGTTCTACTACACCAACGAAGCCAAATTAACTATACTTAGCCTTATGTACTACCATTCTATAAATTTTTTTTTTTTTTTTTTTTTTTTTTTTTTTTTTTTTTTTTGTAACTGAGGTTTTAGGGCTAGTTTACGCGTATTTCAATTTATTCTCAGGGTCCATTGAATACTCTATAAACTCAAAGGATCGGGTAAGCCATAATGTTATTGTGGTAGGTGGTCCAAGGTTTGAACCGAAAAACTTAAGAAAGTGAGTAAACCTATTTGATCGTTAAACCAATCCCTTGGGTTTATCATTTTGTATTTACTTCACACTTTTGTAATCTCCATCAATTTCATATATTTGTATCTATTATAATTAAAGGGACAATAAAGAATCTTATCAATTTCGGACATTACATTTCTCGCGCAAAAGTTTGCGATAAATGACTGGTATATGACTCTTCCTTTCAAATCTAATAACATAAAACCAAATGAAAATTATAGATAATGTAACGCACTACAGAATATAGTGTGTCAAGTGCACATTTGCACAGAAGCTTTACCAAAAATAAGACTTCACAAAAATAGAGAATCAAGTATGTAGGTTCATTGAGCTTATCCCATTATACATTTAACAAGGTCGAGGATGCGAAAATACTCGTAGAATAGAGATGAATGCTCACCTTCAAGCCCAACTCTGCTCACTCTGTTGCGGCCACTGAGGTTATTGCATGGACTTCCACCAATCAGAAGATCAAATCCTCCAAATAAGCTCACATACTGCTCCAACTTGTCCCAGGTGACTTCTTGGACATCTGCAATTTCAATTAGATTTCCACACTGGTTTGTCTCTTTCCACCAGCCCCGTACAATATTTCTGTTCACCTCAGAAATCTCTACTGACACCACATTCTTCAAAGGAATCCCAAGTCGATGCAATGCAACCTCCGCTCCACCAATGCCAGAGAAAAGAGAAAGAACATTAATCCCATTTGGAAACTGTTCCTTCAAGACAGAAAGGTGGTAGGCAACTGTGTCAACCTGAAATCAATTTTTGATTTACATCAGGAATTCAATATATACTGCTTAATTTATCCCAAATGCAAAGGCTAAAAAAGTTCCAATTACCTGAAAGGAGTTTCCCAGAGCTGTGTATCGATCTCCATTACATACTCCACCACCCCTTGTATGGTTCCTTGGGAATCCCATTAACATCTCCATTTCATTAGGTTCAATAGGTGCAACTTTGTTTCTTCCAACCCAAACCAAATTCCATTTTCTGCATTCTGCAAGCACATACGTTTGAACATGGCGAGGAGGTTCCGGTTCACCATCGTACTTCTCAAGCGCTTGCCTTATCCTTTCTGCGAGTTTGGCGCTCCCACTCTTGGTATGAATGCAATTAAGTGTTGTTCTTCCATCCCAAGAAGGCCACCATTTTTTTGTCCACGGTATAGCTTCCTGTATAGTGCGCGGGGGTCTTGGCGTAAGAGGAAAGCGGTTGTGAATTGGGAGGTTATGAATGTAACCTCTTTTTCTTGCACAAGCACAAAAGTAGACAGAATCAACAAATTCTGGTTCAATGTCATACAAAAATCGAGATATTTTACTCCAAACTCCCTGGGGAGTAAGAGCCACGTTTTCATAATAAAAATAGGGAAGTCTTTTAGCTGCCTCCGGAAGCTTTCTCTCAACTATAGGCCATGATTCATCAGGATCACAAAATCCTATCATTGGGTTAGGAATGTATATCCTCCGCTCGGTTCCACACTCTTGCTTCTTCGAACTTCTCCAGAGACCTCTGCTTCCCTGTTTTTCAAGTTTCCTCTTGTTATTA